TGAGGGCGTCAACCGCCAGGGGAATTCCGACACAACTAGCAATCCTTGAAATCCCATCCGGCGTCCAGCACGAGAGCGGGAAGTTTTTGATCTTGATCCAGAGGGGGATAGAGGGGAACTCCTCCCTTTTAGGCACAAAGTCAGGAGTCCATTTCTGGAGAATAAAGGGCTTGCCGAAGAAGAACCAAGGTCCCCCATGCCACGCCATTTCGTAGTCCTCACTGTTGTTGAACTTAAGAAGGAAGAATCCTTCGTCAAGTGTGAGGAGAGTAAGGGTACCTTTCAGCGTCCAAGTCTTTTTGATCGTTGCAAGGAGAGCTTCATAGTATGGGCGGCGACCAATAGAGTAGCCAACCAGGGAAAGGGTCCATTCGGGGGAACCGGCGTTGAACTGAGCTGCAGTGAAATGAGCAGTGGCATTTTGAGTAGGGAAGTGAGAGATCGCAGAGGTAAACTCATTCGAGACCAGCGGTTGCGAAGCGATTAGGCCCTTCCAGTCACCCGAAAGAGGAATGGAAGAGGAGGAAGAGGGTTTAGAGGAGGCGTTTAGAGGGGGGAAGATGGAGGAGGACATCTCAAAGGAGGTCCCCCTCAGGGGAGAGGTGGCGGCGGAGGCGGCCAGAGAGTCGCAAAAAAACCTAGCGAAACCCTAGCAGAGCTTTTTTCAAATGCTGTCGCATATAACAGTATTTAATAATAGCAATTAATGAAAATGCAACAGCTTTAAAAAAAAAAGTCTTATCAACATTACTGTCAACTACTTTTTCAGAAAATAAAAATAAAAATAAAAACCAATTCCAACTTTTTTGAGAGCAGGCTCCAACTGTGGCCTCTCCACGGCTCCTCATGATCCAAGATTTCGTTTGCAATGAAAAATCCGGCCACATGACTGTATATCAAGTAGAGTTTGAGCATGAGTAAGAATGCTCAAGCTGAATTCGAGCTCGCTCATTGGGCTCGAATCGAGCTTAAGCTCCGGTTCAAGCTGTTTAATCAAGTGATGAGTCAAGCTCAAGTTTCTGTGACTCGAGCTTGGCTCAACTCTTTTGAGCCTCTAATTCATGCTCACCTTTTTTTTAGTGTCATGCTTCACTAAGCACATGAACTTTTCCCACTTGAAGCGGCAAGCCTCATAAAGCCAAAAAAAATTAAAATTTTCTATTATTTTTAAAATATATATAAATGAATTTGGCTCAAAAAAATTTAGATTTCCTCCCACTTGAATATCTAAATAGTAGCACAATTATTCCAAACAAATTCCAATGTTCTACGTAGAAGGTAAGAAAAAATATCCAGCAAGAAATTAACTATTAAGGCAGTCAAGTTTCATAGTATTTACTTACGAGGCTCTGGTCTTCCTTCCTTTGATAATGTATGAATTATCCTCATTAGACAAACCATACTTAAAGGGTAGATTTTTCACCCCAATTTGAGGCTACAATTATCTTCTAGTAAGAAAAAGATTGTCCTTAAAATGTATTGAAAAAGGAAGTATGGAGAATGGCCGATGGCGATCGAGTAGAATTGGCCCAATGACGACAATTGGGCAGCATTGGTTCAAAAATGATAGTACGACGATGGAGGTCTAATACTGGTAGTCTGATAACATAACACATAATGATAATCTAATAATAATAGTTAGGCAGAGCTTAAGAATCTCCAAGACTTTGAGATCTCTCCAAAAGTCCATCTTCATATCCAGAGCGGATATACATTTATAATTCCTTAGAGTGATTATTCTCAAATATATCCAAAATTCAAAATGCTTGGTCAAACGATCCGTACTAGTTCCCTTGATAATAAACAATTCTCTGAAAGATATCACTGGCTCATTGAATTCTTCTCGTTCTTATGCTTGATTTAATTATAAGCCTACAAAATTTGGAGTTGACTTGCTGCCCCAAATAATATCCCAAAGTTTCTAACAAGGCTCTCAAGTTCTTGATCTCATTTATTCGGACTCCATTCAAATCATTTTTAATATCGATGGATTCATCTTACCAAAAGTTCAGATGAATCAAAATTTAACTTTAAATTTTTTTCAATTCCAATAAGCTTTGAAATTCATTCATGATTTATCAAATGGATTTTGAATGACACATCAATCATAACTATATAAAATTAAAAATTAATTTTAAGAAGGTAAAACATGAAGAATCCAGATTGATGCTACATTATGAAAGAAGTTAAAATAGATAGCACCTGCAGTTATATTGGAATAACAATCAAAGTGACCAATTGGATGATCTGCATTTAAGGGATTGCATCCATATCCAACTCCCTAAGTAGGGTTGCAAATTTTGTTCAAAATTTTGCTTGATTATCACTAGAGCTTTAATCATCTCTAATTGAATTCGACCTCGACTTAAAATAATTTTTAAAAATAATAAACTTTGGCTCAGGATTGATCTCGACTTAACTTGAATTTGACTGATCACCAGAATAGAACTTCTAATTTGAATTGCAGTCGGCTTGCTCGGACTTGACTCAGACTTCGTTTGGGACGGCTTTTTTGTTTTTTCTTAACGCAGCTTTTTAGTATAAAAATTAAAAATTTTATACTAGAAAGTTGCTTTAAGAAGCAATAAGAAAGTCGTCCCAAACGAAACCTCAATATCATCTGCAACCAGAAGATATGAATAGTAGCAGCAATTCCAGCTCATATATACAAACCAGTTGAATCTCACACTGAGTGAATTTACAGAAGATATCTCCCAAATTATCAAGCTAAGCACTGCTTGTTAGAAGGTATTCAAAGAACTCTTTTACTTGCACTCACTGAAGCAAAACTACTTGAAACCACTGAAGCAACACTACCTGTAAACAACACAGGAAGAAACAATGTGATAGGGATAAATGCAAATAATAATAATGTAATGAGATTGTTGGGTTTAGTGATCAAAAGGTAAGAATTGCCCTTTAGCTTCTAAAAACAAATAGCAAAGTGTATTTAGCATATAAGATATCACAGTTCTGACTGCACCCATTCCTTCTTAATGAACTATAAAATCAAATTAAGATACAAACTCTCACAGAGATATTTTGGCATACTTCTAATAGTAAACACTAGTAGATCTCAAGTATTTCCTGTCAATCTTCGGAAAATAGCGAGAATTCTCCACAAAAATACACAAAACCACGAAAACAGTAGATAATTTGTATTATTTGATGAAATAGAAACGGAACATAGCAAGATACAGTTGATCCTCGATTCGAGAGGAGGATCAATCTCTCCCAAATCTCTAGACGCCGTTAGAGCCCAAAAACCTAAACTTAAGATATCACAAAGTTCACCCAAATTCAAGATGCCCTAACCCTAGGAAAACAAACTATTTAACGCATACAATTCAAAAGGAAATATCTAAACAGTCCCTACATTCAATTTCTCTCCTAAACTTCATAAAAAAATCATTCCAAAACTGCTCTTTTTGAATTGGCAGTTTGAACGGCATGCATGAGGCGGAGATTGGCGGAGAGTTCCGCCTCTATTGTTCGTAAGCCGATACGATATGAACCGGTCTAACAACTTCCAGATTGTATAAGATATTAGTATATTTCAAAAGAAAAAACCTCATTAGAAGAAAAAACCACAAATCAGTTTCTAAATGAACAAACAGATTAAACCTGAAGGACCTTAACTTTGAGCAATTCACTTGATTGGAGGAAACAGTGGATCAATTGCAAACAGAATTGTTAGTTTGAAAGACAGGAAAGCTTGTCATGATTAATTTTGATAGATAAAAACTGTAATCTAGCCATAGAAAACATCCAGTTCTAAGCAGCATTGGCCTCATGTCATTCTTCTTAGAACTCTTATGGTTCGACTCTAAGATTGTTGTTTGATCTAAAATCTAAGGAGCCGAGTAATCAAGAATGATAAAATGATCCAAGAGTATTGGATATAAGGGTGACAGTGACTTGTGGACAATCCTGTAAGCGATTCATTCGCTTTTCTTTCTTCTTCCTGCTAGAATTTCCTCCTCATTTTGCAGTCCAATCAGTTAAGGTGCTGTTCATCACAGAGATTTTAGTAATCAGGTGCTTCTATTTCAAAAACTACACTGAGAGGATGAGAGGGGAAGGTGGAGGCGTTCTGCTCTTCACTGATGGAAGAGATGAGGAGAAATAGAGAGAGAGGGGGAGTGATCTAAATCTGAACTTTCAGAACTTCGAAATATGATTTTCATAACATCAATGGAAATCTACCTATTGTAAAAAAAAGAATCAAAATTTTAAATAATTGCATGAATAATGGAGAAAATATCTTTTTAAAATTCGAAAATCTAGACTTTCTTTAAATAAAGGAAAGAACATCTCCTCAAACTTCAAAAGAACCAATTTGCCTAGATTCCAACTATTCAACTCCAAAATACAATACTTGATCAATTATTTAACGTAAAATTTAGAAATGAATAAGAACATCAAATTCACATTATATCACATTCTAAAATGGACAGAACAAACGTTAGTGCACCCACACATGGGCCGAACTCGTTGGCCCTCAAGGAAGGGACCGAACTTGCATCTTTTTGAGCTGGTTGTCGCAGATCGAGTTGCATGTCGTTGATCATAATGGAGTTGAATGGATCCTCCTGGATCACTATTCATTTCCCAGACAACTAACCCTCCTAAAAAAACAGAGGTAAAATGTCTTCAGGTGTAAAATCCCAATTTCCCCGCATTTGTAATAAAAAGTGAACAGTTTCATTGTAAGAGATAATCTTGTGAATTGGACAAAACTATAGATCTCACAAAACACACTTTAAGAGACATTTTGGTACCACCAAACAACATAAGACAAAGATGATATCATTAAAAAAAAAAAACTTGCTCTTAAGGGATTCACAAACTGATGGTAATTGTTAGAGAAAAGAGACTTAGTACAAGTTATATAATTTTGGCATTGCTAAAGTTTTTCAATTTGCTTACTATTTTTACAAATAAATTATATATATTAACATGTTCAAAACCATATATAATAGGAATCATGATTTTCCCTCATTATCAAGGATATTTCACCTTGATTGTTTCCATTTTTTGTTCCCTCATTTTGCTTATGTATAGGCATATATATGCTTATACTACACATAATTTAATAGACCTATAATTCTCCTATATTTGAGATTTTAAACATGATACAAAGTCTTCAATCCATCTTTGTGCCATCACTCCTCCCAATGGCATTTACAACTTGTTCATGAACTTCTCTCTGATTCAAAGAAAGATTCTATTTCTTTGCTTTTATTCCTTCCTGTCTTCGAAATTTTAACTTCCATGTTGATGTCATTGCCCATTGGTCCATCCAATAGAATCCACTAGCACATAACTCTTTATCATAAATCTCATGTTTCCCTCACATAGTGATCACCCTGTTGTGAAATGCTGAGGGAATTCATTGTTATTGCTTTGTATTATTGAGGATTCATTGCAGATAACTCTCACCACAACAATTTCCTAACACCATCTGATGTAAAACATAAATGTCATGTACTTGCCTAGGTGGCAAGATTAATTAAATCCCAAATCAATTTGGGGAGAGAGAATGAAAATCTGAAATTAAATTTCAGATTAAGTGGAATTGGCGGGATCTCTACATAAGAAAGGGCCTCTATATATAGGCCTAAGAAACTAAAACAAGACACATATGCCTCTAAGGCTTACATAGGACGACCCTCTTAAGTGAGGGTAAAAACGGAAAATTTATAATAAAAATTTAAAAATTACAAATAAAATATAAGATAACGTGGGACGATGACAGCCGTTGATCTTCAGCTCCTCGGATAGCCATGGACGGTTGGATGTCCGCATCACTATCATCTCCTATGAATCTACGACTTCTATTAAGTGAATATGCCTCTCGGCCCCTCTAGTGATGTCAGCATGATGACTTCCAATGACTTTCATGTTAGTCTGCCTTATTTGCAACATAATTCTTCATTGTCATATTGTGCTATGCGCGGAGCATCCCATTAACAAAATTTCCATTGGAATAAGCCCCAATAAACCACCCCACAAAATTTAAAAAGCTTATCACCGCTGATCTTCTGCGGGACACTTATTTCTATCAATGTCAAGTTCATCAGTCACTTACAATAAACTTTTTATCGAGTGTAAGCCCACCAATTGATTTCCTCTTCTTAAACACAAATGGAACTCCATGGAGTTATGGAACTCTCATAAGTGAACAATCGCCTTCCACCTAAAACTAACTCCCATAAATCATGACTCCTAGTTGAAAGAATAAGTTGATTTTGATACCCTCACCCCTCTCACCAAATGGTGGGATCAAGGGGTGGATGGGATGGGCACTGACCACCTCTAGATATTGAGTAAATATCTTAATTTTTATCTATTACAAAAAAAAAAATTTTTGCTCCCCACCAAATTTTAAAATGATACTAAAATTTAATCACGCATATTTTAAAATTAATTATCAATAATAACTATTTTATAAATATTAGTCTATTCATCATGTCTCATAATTATATTAATTAATTCAAACATATAATTTCTATTATTACTTATTAATTGTAATATTTTAAGAAATTATTAAAGATAATAAAAATAAATAGTAAATTGCCAATTATAAATCACTATTAACTCACCTATTTCATAAAATCCTAGTCGTCTCTATCTGCATCTGTTCATTCCACTCCACCAAAATTCCCAAAGTCCTCTCTTCCGTTGTTCCCCATTTTAATCAGACCAAAATTTTATTTTCCCAAAACTCTCTCGCAAGTCATGATTGCACGTCACTAAACATCGCCCATTGCTATTGCCAATACCATTCCCAAGGCAAGCCTATTCCACAACAATGGTTTCTATGATTTTCCCCTCTAGAATTTTCTTTTTGTTCAAATCAAGTTGGATTTTTTTAACTATTGATGTAAAATCGATATACACAAGAGTACAAAATCACACAAATAGTAAAATAACAAAAAGGTATCATCCCACAGAGCTTGATTATAATAAGTACAAATAAAAAAATTATTCGAAGAATGAAAACACAAAAAAAAAAATTAAAAATATAACTAAATTACTAGCAATAGGATTCCTAAAGACTAATAATTAAATAAGAATTACTAATGAGTAAGATGGAGGATAATTTTCTTGCATGTTCATTAATAACAGATAATAAGAAAGATATTACAGAAGTTTGATATAGACCAAATAACTGATAATATTGATACAATGAAGAAGCATCAAGCATAATTTAAAATGCCTAACCAAAATAGCTAAATTAAAAGAGTTTTTTTTTTTTTTTTTTGAGGAAACTTTTTTATTTAATCTTTCTTTACTTATGTTTATTCAAAAAGTTAAATTTCTAATTTTAATTTTAGTTGAATTTTTTATTTATCTACCCCTATCTATAAATCTGATAGGAAATGGATATAATTTCCTCGAAATCAGCGAACGACAATAAAAAATTAGGGAGAAGAACAAACCAAACTCTTTTTATTGCAAGATATATGAAAGAAAACAGCAAGATACAGTTGGATCTTCAATTAGAGAGGAAGATCCGGCTCTCCCAAATCCCTAGCCAATGACTTAAGCCCTCACAACCTAAGAAATTCTAACTTCAACAAGCTCAAAACATAATCCTGAAATCACCCTATTATTAGCCTTATATAGGCTCCCCTAATTCCCTCTTAAATTAGCCCCCTTCTCTAAATTATTCTCTCTTATATTTGAATTCAAATAAGATCGCTTTCCCTAAATAATTCCCTCCCATTAATAATTAAAACTTTCCTAAACAATTCTCCCATGAATCCTCCTCCCTTTTCTAAACAATTCCCTCTTAGATTTTGAATTCAAATTAAATCTCTTGCCCTAAATAATTTCCTCCTAATTGTAATTAAAACTTTCCTAAATAATTTCTCTTTAAATTAAGAACCTTCATAAATAGCTCCCTCTAGATTAAGAAACTTTCTAATTTCCTCCCAATCAAATCGGTTGGTCCATCAATACTCCCATTCTCAAGGTAGAATAAAGAAAATTGCTGCTGAAGCACTGGACTGAAAAATTGAATGTCACTAGATTGAATGATCCCTGACTCCAGCATCTCCTTGATCAATCTCTCGATCTCATCCTTCTGGAGTTGGGGAGAGTGATAAAGATGAACATTGACATGTAAGACTCCTTCCTTCAAAATGATAGCATGCTCGTATTCCCGTGGAGGAGGCAACCCCTGAACTAGCTGGAACACCTTTCGATACTACTGTAAGAGTGGTTGAATCAATTCTAGTGCTTCTATCTTCTCCCCTCTTCTTCTCCTTCCAAACTCTGCAGCTCCACCAAAAATCTCGTCTTCATCCCCCAATATTTCCACCTCCCCATCCTCCCTCATCATCCCTATATTAGAGTTTCCCCCACTTCCTTATCCAGTCAACGGTGCCCTCGCCTCCGATGTTGTCGGTTGAGTGTGAAGCTCCAATATTTTTTTTTTATCATGTCATTTAAGTTAGAAAGTCTTCCTTCCAAGGATGAAAGCCTTCCTTCGATGTTTAAAAACTTCTCCACTAACCTGGGATTTGATTTGGTCCACTTTGTCTTCCAACGCATCCACCTTCTTTGCCGTCATAAGCCCCAAAAAAGTTCTCTAATACCAATTTGATTGGAAGTGGATACACTTTTCTCGAAATCAGCAAACGACAATAAGAAATTAGTAGGTAGGACACACCAACACTCTTTTTTATTGAAAGATATACAAAAGAAAATAACAAGATACAATTGAATCTTCAATTGGAGAGGAAGATCCGGCTCTCCCAAATTCCTAGCCGGAGGCTTCAGCCTCCACAATCTAAGAGATTCTAATTTCAGTAAACTCAAAATATAATCCTGAAATCACCATATTGTTATCCTTAAATAGGCTCCCCTAATTTCCTCCTAAATCAGCCCCCTTTCCCTAAATAATTCCATCTCATATTTGAATTCAAATCAGATCTCTTGCCCTAAATAATTCCCTCCCAAATAAAATTAAAACTTTCATAAGTAATTCCCCCTTAATTCCTCCTCCCTTTCTCTAAATAATTCCCTCTTAGAATTTGAATTCAAATTAGATCCCTAGCCCTAAATAATTCCCTCTCAATTGTAATTAAAACTTTCCTAAATGATTCTCCATTGATTAAGAACCTTTCTAAATAGCTCCCTTTTGGTTAGAAAACTTCTTAATTCCCTCCTAGTCAAATCAGCCGGTCCATCAAAATCATAATTCCGCCACTGCCCTCATTCTTGCCTAAGTGCTCCTTCAGTTCCCTCCAATAACTGCATCCACATTGTCCACATGTTTGATGGCATCCTAGGCTAACTCTCTTACCTCTCCCTCATTATTTGGTCATAACATCTTGCTAAGCAGTCATGCTCCTTCCACGATCTTGTATCACATGTTGTCCCCTGCCTACATGCAACTCTATGGACAAAGAGATAAAGAGGGCTCAGTGGGAGCCTTTTAACAAAGAATTGGAGAGAGGGAGAGTGAAAGAGCAAGAAAGTGATTGAGGAAGAATTTAATTCATTGGCTTCAAGCTTGATTATTACATTCTAATGCCTCCCTTTTGTATTAAATAGAATCAAATTCATGTATATCCATAATCCTAATATATTACACTAATTTGTGAGCACTTATCCGAAATATTCTAACCATTTAAATTTTGAATAATAATAGCTTAAATCAAGATAATATTCCGTTCAAACTCGTAAGAGAATGACCATTCATATAGAAAGAGATGGAGAAAATTAGGGAGAGAATATTATCTAGTTTACTTGATTCCATCCACTTGTATTTCTCTTTTTCTCTCCTCAGCCTCCTCTCCTTATTTGCAAATTTAAATTGCATCAAGTCCTTCCTCAATTCATATTTATAAATTAATCCTTCTAAGATTAATTATTCAAAATCTCTTCAAAGCCTCCAATATAACTCTGCCAATGCCCTCAATCAATGCCTTCATTGAAATCCTTAATCTACCCATTTGTAGCATTTCCCACAATCAACGGGTCATTTGTTACCCACTATCGAGGATCTTATCCATGCATTTTTTTACACGGATCTTGAAGTCATATCACCAACTCCTTGTGCCCTATCCATGCTCAACAATCTTTCATGAATCCAACAAATATTGATCACCCTCACAACCTCTAGGAAGCAAACCTTCAAACGCATCATCGTCTGTCACCACTGCTTCAAAACTCAAATTGATATCTTTTATGAGATATTCCATAGCAAAACAAAAATTCCAATTATGAAGAGGGAATGTGGAACAAGAAAGGAATGCAATCAAGAAGAAATATTCTAATAAATTTCAATAGAGATGTAATTCTTACATATTCACTCTTTCAAACACTATTTAGAATTTATTTGGGCGACAGCAGTTCTCTATTAAAATAATTATCAAATTTTCATGAGAAATTTTTTTTTTTTAAACTATTATGATATTATAGTCTTTTTCACTTTTAAAGACAATTAGATAAATATTTTTCATACTACCACACTCTAATAAAATAGATTTAAAAAAATTATTTCTCACCATAAAAATTTCTAAAACAACAAGAAGAAAATTGAAACCAGAAATGTGAACAAGCCTTAATAACATGAAAAGGGAAAAAGATTACGTAAAGCATATATATTCTTCGGAAGGAAAAAATGGTACCAACTTATGTACAAGTATGCAAACCCTAGAATATCAACTATGAAACAAACTTACAGAATACACCCTAGCGGCCTATCAAGGGCGGCCAATTCGTAACACTGCAACGGCAGATAGGACACAGTGGAGATTTCTCCAGCCACCGGTCCACGCAAAGCCTGTGGAATTCATGGTTGCAGCCTGGGAGTGCCCTGCACCAACAACCCTCCCGAAACTCCTCCAGGCACACAGCACAGTCCTGAGCTTCCGGTCGACCAGAGTAGCTGAAGCAGGGAAGGCATCGCAGCTCTTCCGGAGAAAGGCCGTAGCTTTCCAACGCCGGCGGCCCGACCATGGCTTCGAAGAGCCTCCGACGGCGACGAAGAATCCTTCCAATAAGGCACAGGAGAAGAAGGAAAACTACCGCGATGCCAGCAAATATGAAGAAAAGAGCAAGGGCGACCGCCATCACGACAGCCCTGAGGAAGAATGAGAGCAGCCAGGCACCGCCTTTAGGCTTTACAGGCGGCGATGAAAGGCCCTCGAAGGGACGGTGGCAGTCGAGTAGAGCCATGGATTCGTCGCCGTCTTCGCTCGTCATTTCTTGGCCGAGAGAAGGTATTTTGACGAAGATGAGGAGTCGCAGAGGAGATCGGTGGATTCGTATTGGAATTATTCTTCGAATCCCGATGCCCAGCGATGGATCTATGGAAATTGTGGAGCATATTCCGCAGAGAATATCATTCTGGTCGTTGGAAGGCAATATGTCACATTAATAGCCGAAGGCTTACCGTTTGGGACAGCTTTAGCAGTTTTTTTTTTATAAAAATTTTCTCAATAATTTTTTATTAAAATTTTATTTTAAAAAATAATAAAAAATTTATTTCAAATAAAGTCTAAGTTAATATTATATGACTGATAATTTATTTATTTTTTTAATTTATAAATATTAAAATATTAAAATAATATCAAAATTTTAATAAATTTTTATATAACAAAATGATTTATAATAAATTTTTTTTAGAGTTCCTCTAATATATTGTTTGTAGGGCGGATTTATGGGGAGCATAGGGGGGCAATACTCTTCACGTCCCTCCGTTCTTCCATCCAAAAGCAAATAATTGCTGGGGACAATAGGTGATCGGCAATACTCTTTCAGTAACAGATGTTGAAGCCGCTGGTGATGAGATCAGTTTCCCTTAAGATTGGTGGTAGCACCGCCCGATTCCGGCGTGCCACCTTGTGCTCATCTGCTGTCCACCTCGTCATGCTCGCCTCTATCCTCACTACCAACTTCTTCACCCTATACACGTTCACATATGCACCGAAATCCTCTACCTACATCATTTTCCACAGCGTTAAGAATCTCTCAATGATCTCCGAGCAAGCAGCTGCAACATTAAAAATTATTGTGAGGATAGAGGCTCCGAGAAGTGAATTGTGATTTAAGAAAATCAAAACTTATGATACCAACGTGCTACCCACATGCATAGGTAGGTGTAGATACAAATGTTTATATTAGTTTTGTTTTGTCGTATCACAAAACAAAACTAGGCTTATCAGTGTATGTCAAAGATGATTACTCGTTATTCCTCAATTCTTATTATAAGGTTGTTGGATGCCTAATGATATAATAAATTTATTATTAAAACTACATACAAACATATATTTTAGTGTGGCGATGAGGCTCAAAGATTTCAGGACCTTAACATCTTCAACGAGTATTAAAAATGTCCAATGATTCAATAGGGTTGAGGTAGATTTAGTATCTATAATCAAGAACCCATGTAATTAAGCTAGCATGCATTTAGTTTTTTATCTAATTAGTAATCATGAGATGAGTCTTGAAATGTTTAATAGATCTTTAAGTAGGCGAGCGAGTGCTTTGGGAAAAAGAAAACACAAGTCATAAAAACTTGTTTGGGAGCGTTGCAGCGTTGGAAGGGTAGCATTGTGATATTGAGCTCTCATATGGATGTAAGGATTTGAACGTGCGCTATAACACTAGGTTGCATCATCGTGGTGTCGAGCCTTTAGATGGAAAGATTCTAGGAGAGTCTAGAAGATTTGGCTCGGCGCTGCGGTGGCGAGGAGACTAGTGCACCACAACATTTTATCAAATTAGCAGTTTTTATATAATCAAAATATCTAAAACCATTTGCAAAAAAATCCTTCACCCCCAGCCATTGCCAAGAAGAAGTGGAGAGAGAAAGGAGGAGAGAGATTTTGCAACTAAAACTAAATATTCGTCTGTCAAGTCTATTCTGGATATTATAGAGCATGTGGTAGACTTCTAAACCCATATCTCTAATTTTAATACCAATAATTTTATAAAAAGTTATGAATCGAATGTGTTTTTTCTTAGATTTTATGACATTTTTATTGTATAACTTTTGATATGTTGTCGTATGATTTACCCCAAATATTTTTACTATAAGAAATTAAATTTTCATTGGTTGGTTTTTTTTTATATGCAAATTTTTTAGTATATAACTGGTTAAGTCTTTTCTGACAATTACAATAGTTATATAAAAATACTAAAATACTCATATGAATACCCCTTTGAAATTGAAATTTGTGTGGAAAAAATTCAGTGAGTATAATCTCATACAAATGTGACTTTTTCCTGACAATTGATACATTATGTGAATACTATATTGAAATTATAATTTAGTCGCTATTGCATTTAAATTTACATTATTCATAGCATGGTGTTTGAGATATTCTGATATGTAAAAAAGTGCACTCTCTGATATGTTACTATGGCATTATATGTTTCTGTTTTGGCCTCATATGCTTAGTGTGGATGTGGGAGGAATTCTTGTCCTACTTATTGAAAGTAGGTGTGAGAGGTTATAGGGCATTGTTCTATTTTGATTATGGCTCCACTTGTTAGAGGCAAATATGAGAGATTAAAGGGAGACATAAGTCGAATTGGAGTTATAAGACGACATCATAACATGTACACTTTAATCATTTTCTTGCATAAGTTAATGCTTATATAAATTAAATACATATAAGTAATATTCTGAACTAAATGTTAATAATTCTTGAATTTATTTAATGAACCCTGACTAAATGTAAGAGTCAAGTGCAAGTGAATATCTCGTAAAAAGTGTTATGTGATACATTTGAATCCTCTAGGGAAGTAGCTTCCAAGGTTTAAATCATAACTTGAAATCATGACTTAGGTTTTGTTAATACTTTCTTTATTTTTTATAAGGCATTATATTTATTTTAATTAATTAAATGTTTTGCAAAATTTTAATTTGGATATTGATATTTGAAATGAATTTGGGAGAGAAGTCTACTAAGTTGGTTACGCTCATTTTATTCTTTTTAATATTCACAAAAAGGTAAAAGCCCGAGGAGTAGAAAGGTGTAAAGGTAGGATCTTCTGAGTTTAAGCGACTAAGGTATTATTTTGTAATATAATTTGATGTATAGATGATTGGTAAGCTGGATAAATGTATATTTTGATAAAATGAAATATGTTCACTATTTTACCGTTTAGATTTTATAGTAGCTCTTGATACCTCTATTGGTGATGAGCTGCTTAATTATAGGTTTAAAGTTTCAACCATTCAATTAGATTATAGAGCTTCACATATGTTACCTATACATATCATTTTTTATGTGTGTGCTTATGTCCTTGAAACGCTTAGTTGATTCACATCACTCAAAGCATCCGTCTTAGCATAATGATTATAGGCCAATATGCCTCTTATTGCTTCATAACCTATGTCTATGTAGGAATACTATAACATAATTTAGATGAAATGTTTAATTTTAATGAGACTTATTATTATCAAAATTTTCTTGGAATTTCTTGCAAATTGAGATGAAATGCCAGCAAAATTTTTTTATAACATTCATTAATGGTGGGGGAATGCATTGTGCTTGTTGTGTGACAAAAAAGTGCCACTCAAACTTAAGGGAAAATTTTGTAAGATAGTGGTGAGATCTACAATGCTCTGTGGTGCAAAATGTTGGCCATTAAAAGAGAAGCATAAAATTAAGTTAAGTGTTGCAAAGATGAGGATGCTCATATTGATGAGTGTCTTCACTTTTAGAGACATAATGCAAAATGAGTATATTCATGATAAGGTTGGAGTAGCTAGCTAGCTCTTGTGATGTCCCAATATCAACTGAAAACTAATAATCAAAACATCAAAATACATATGCATTCTTATTCCAAAATTATATATAATACTCATGAATCATACAATTACAACATATGATTATCAGTCTTAAATACAAAAAATAGCTGAAAGATAAAAAATAAACTAACAATAAATTTGGATAATTTTGATCTGATCAATCTCATACACACCTAATCATCTGCCCTGACTTGAAATCATTTAAACCACATGTAATAAGCTAAAAATTAAGTCCAGCATGTCATCTAATCATACAACTTACTCAAAGTAAAGTGAAGAAACAATATGCATGTCACACCTATAATCTAAAGTGGAAGAATTTTTTTTTTTATCTTTCTTTTTTTATGTCCAACAAAAATTTATTCATTTATAACTAGATTAATTTCACCTCCAAATTTAACTAATTACATTAAAGAACATAAATAAATAATAATAATATATAATATATTATTACTGTCAATATTTATATTCTACTATAAGCTCCAAAAACTCAAAAATATATACATAATAATCACCTTTGACTACAAAAGAATATATTTAAATTAGTGAACTTAAATAAATATATATATATATATATATATATATATTGTATCAATATTAATGTCAGTACGATTTTCATTCTATATAGAAATCAGTTTAATGTATTATCATATAAATGCAATCATGAATGCAATAGCTTTAATGTGATGTTTTCATCATTCCACCTCAATTGTTACCTAATTAGGTATCAATCTTAATATAAGTCCAATTGTCAACTAATTAGTATTAATTAACCCTGATTATCACCCACTTAGGTATCAATATTAATTTAGGCCAAATTTTCATAGATTGAATTATTCATAATACCTCCCCAACGCTTCACCTGCTCCGATAGGGTTTTGTCCTGGCAGCTACTCCAACGCATTTCAGGGGAGTTTCGTCGCTTTCATCAAGGAAAGTCTTCTTGCCACCTCTTGTTGGAGGTTTCAGGGAAGTTATTCTTTTCCTTCTCATTTTTCCGGGTTGTATTTTCCTTTATTTTTGGTTTGGCTTCCTCATCTCTTCCAACTTCGGTCGTCCATGATAGGAATGGCGGTTAAACGAGTTAGTGATCCCAATTTTTTGAATGGTTCCTTCAAATAACGATATTTTGTGGATGCTATTTATGGTTCTCCTTCTACTATATTTCTTGAGTTCTTATAGAGTTTGTTGCATGGTTTTCCCTCTTTGTGGATCTCGAAGGAAGAAATATTAGCCCTTGCGGTTCCTTTTCAATTTGATTTGGTTGGATTTTTTTCTTCGCGCTGACCTTCTTTGGATACAATTCGTAGATTTTTTTCAACTTGAAACTAAATTTTGATTTCTCTATTACTGTTCTTGATCAGTCACACGTTCTGATTCTTATCTAATGATATTGATTATAATAGAGCATTTTGACATATATCCTATTTTGTGAATAATTGTTTTATGAAATACATTAAATGATCACTTTCTCTGGATATCAGTGTTGAATTTTCCCAATCTACGACCCCATCTTTTCTCTCTTTGGATCCTTCACGGTATGGGTTCTATGTTTAGTTAGATCTTGAAAGTCGATAGTGCTACTTCTGTTGGTTCTAGACC